TTCGAGTTCCCAGAATTCCATTCCCAGGCCACATTTTGAATGCCCGGAGCCAACTGTAACCCATTTCGTGGTCTTCGAGTTCCCAGAATTTCAGTCCTGGGCATGATTTTGAATGCCTGGAGCCAGCTGTAGGCCACTTCGTGTTCTTCGACGGGCCACATGTTGAATGCTGAGGCAGGCTGATGCTGAGGCTGAAGCAGGCTGGGGCTGAGGCAGGCTGAGGCTGAGGCCGAGGCTGAAGGCAGACTGGGGCTGAGGCTGAAGCAGGCTGAGGCTGAGGCTGAGGCTGAGGCTGGCTGAGGCTGAGGCTGAGGCTGATGCAGGCTGAGGCTGAGGCCGAGGCTGCAGGCAGACTGAGGCTGAGGCTGAAGCAGGCGGAGGCTGAGGCCGAGGCTGAAGGCACATTGATGCTGAGGCTGAGGCAGGCTGAGGCTGAGGCTGAGGCAGGCTCAGGCTGAGGCTGAGGCAGGCTGAGGCTGAGGCAGGCTGAGGCTGAGGCTGAAGCTGATGCAGGCTGAGGCTGAGGCAGGCGGAGGCTGAGGCCGAGGCTGAAGGCAGATTGATGCTGAGGCTGAAGCAGGCTGAGGCTGAGGCTGAGGCAGGCTGAGGCTGAGGCTGAGGCAGGCTGATGCTGAGGCAGGCTGAGGAGGCTGAGGCTGAGAGCTGAGGCTGAGGCTGAGGCTGAAGGCAGGCTGAGGCTGAGGCTGAAGCAGGCTGATGGCTGAGGCTGAGGCTGAGGCTGAGGCAGGCTGAGCTGAGGCAGGCTGAGGCTGAGGCTGAGGCTGATGCAGGCTGAGGCTGAGGCAGGCAGGCTGAGGCTGAGGCTGAGGCGAGGAGGCTGATGAGGCTGACTGAGGCTGAGGCTGAAGGCTGAGCTGAGGCTGAGCAGGCTGAGGCTGAGGCTGAGGCTGAGGCTGAGGCAGGCTGATGCTGAGGCTGAGGCTGAGGCTGGCTGAGGCTGAGGCTGGCTGAGGCTGAGGCCGAGGCTGAAGGCAGACTGAGGCTGAGGCTGAGAAGGCTGAGGCTGAGGCTGAGCTGCTGAGGCTGATGCTGAGGCAGGCTGAGGCTGAGGCAGGCTGAGGCTGAGGCTGAGGCAGGCTGAGGCTGAGGCTGAGGCAGGCTGAGGCTGAGGCTGAGGCTGAGGCTGATGAGGCTGAGGCAGGCTGAGGCTGAGGCTGAGGCTGAGGCTGAGGCAGAGGCTGAGGCTGAGGCTGCTGAGGCTGAGGCAGGCTGAGGCTGAGGCTGAGGCTGAGGCTGAGGCTGAGGCTGATGCAGGCTGAGGCTGAGGCAGGCTGAGGCTGAGGCCGAGGCTGAAGGCAGGCTGAGGCTGAGGCTGAAGCAGGCTGAGGCTGAGGCTGAGGCAGGCTGAGGCTGAGGCTGAGGCAGGCTGATGCTGAAGCAGGCTAAGGCTGAGGCTGAGGCAGGCTGAGGCGTAGACACAAAGAAATTGCGACGAAGCCGATGCACAACAATATTTTTAGAAACTGCCGAGAAAAGATATTTTCAGATACTGTGTGCACGGTGCCTCGGCGGGAGCACAATCATTTCGGAAAGCGTCCATTCCTGAAGAATAGATATTTGTAGATACTGTGTGCACGTCGCCTCAGCGGGAAGCTCGAAATGTTATGAGTGTCTACTCCTGTCTTGGGCCGTCTACCTGCAGGGGTGTGCAGGGCCAGGGGTCCAGGGTCCGGGGTCCGGGGTCCGGGCTCCGGGCTCCGGGCTCCGGGCTCCGGGCTGCGGGCTCTGGGCTCCGGGCTCCGGGCTCTCGGCTCCGGGCTCCGGGCTCCGGGCTCCGGGCTCCGGGCTCCGGGCTGCGGGCTCCGGGCTCCGGGCTCCGGGGCCCGGGGCCCGGGGCCCGGGGTCCGGGGTCCCGGGTCTGGGGTCCGGGGTCCGGGGTCCAGGGTCCGGGGTCCGGGGTCCGGGGTCCGGGGTCCGGGGTCCGGGGTCCGGGGTCCGGGATCCGGGGTCCGGGGTCCGGAGTCCGGGGTCCGGGCTCCGGGATCCGGGGTCCGGGGTCCGGGCGCGACCCGGGCGGCGGGTGGTCCATGTGTGTCGCGTTTCCCCACCAGCCCATCTCACAGCAGCAACTCTTGCGAAGCATGCCGACAGTCGTGTTTTTCAGGCGTGTGTCCGCTTGGCCCCGCATATGCGGGAGAAGGACGAGGCGGAGGAGGAGGGAGAGAAAGCGCTCCTCGTGATTTGAGTCGTTTGGGGTTTCTCGTCCTGGTGTGAGTCGTTCGGGCCCTTCTTCCTGGTGTGAGTCGTTCGGGCTCTTCGTGGTGTGAGTCGTTCGGGCTCTTCGGGTGTGAGTCGTTCGGGCTTCTCGTGGTGTGAGTTGTTCGGGCCCCTCATCCTGGTGTGAGTCGTTCGGGCCCCTCCTCCTGGTGTGACTCGTTCGGGCTCCTCGTGGTGTGAGTCGTTCGGGGCCCGCGTCGTGGTGTGAGTCGTTCGGGCTCCTCGTGGTGTGAGTCGTTCGGGCGCCTCGTCCTGGTGTGAGTCGTTCGGGCCCCTCCTTGTGGTGTGAGTCGTTCGGGCTCTTCGTGGTGTGAGTCGTTCGGGCCCCTCGTCCTGGTGTGAGTCGTTCGGGCTCCTCGTGGGGCCTCTTGGGGGCCTCTTGGAGCCTCTGGGGCCTCTTGGGGGCCTCTTGGGGGCCTCTTGGGGGCCTCTTGGGGGCCTCTTGGGGCCTCTTGGGGCCTCTTGGGGGCCTCTTGGGGGCCTCTTGGGGGCCTCTTGGGGCCTCTTGGGGGCTCTTGGGGGCCTCTTGGAGGCCTCTTGGGAGCCTCCTGGGGGCCTCTTGGGGCCATCTTGGGGCCTCTTGCGACCTCCTCAGAAGCGCAAATGAGCGCTGCCCCCTGAGAAGGACAAAATGAGCCCAAAACCTTCGTAAAATCAATGATTTTGCTGTGAAGGAAGATGAGCGCGGCTCCCTCAGGAGGCCAAAATGGGGCCAAAACCGTAGTAAAATCAATGATTTTGGCTTCAAGGAAGAGGAGAGGTTTTTTTCTCCCTCCCCCCGTCGGGGCCAGAATCCTCGTGAGGGGTGTCGTTTTTTAGCCCTCCCATGAGTCGAAAAAGACCCCTCCAACGACCCGCGAAACCCCCTCTCCAGGTCCAGGGGGAGGGGGTAGGGGGAGGGGTAAACCCCTCCCCGAAGGGGAAGAAGGGGGGTTGAGAACAGAAAGGGCTCCCTAAACCACTCACGCCCAAAGGGCTGGTGGGATTCACCCAGTCGACCGTGGCGATCATCTGCGGCGTCGCGCCCCCCGTTGCCCAGAACACCCGGTAGTGCCAGCCCGGGAGCGCCAGCTTCTCATTGATCGAGAGCACACCTGGCAGGGCACCTGTGAAACGTGAGCTCCACTTCGACTTGTCTGCTGCCAGGGGGCGCGCCACCTCGGTGGCCTGCCGGAAGTCTGTCCAGGCAAGCGCGCTCTGGAAGTCGCCCCCCTTCGGTCCCGCCAGCCTACGCGGGCGGCCCCGCATGAGCGCGTCGGTCGGACTGACGAGGCGCCTCGTAGCTGGCGTGACGAGGGACCAATATTGCTGGTCCCCCTATAGACCTCCATAAAGTTCCAGGGATGGTCTGCTGGCCGTAGTCTAGGGTGGGGTCCGCTAGGAGGTACGCTGCTTTCTCGATCTTTGGCTCCGGCATCTCCAGCGTGCTCTCCTTGGTGCTGTACAGGAGGCCCCAGCATATCTTTGAGGTCTCCCAGCCCCCTTCCTCAATGTCCTTCTCCTCGTTGATCGCGTCCCTGCCCAAGCAAGCTCGGATCCCCTCCAGCGCCCTGTCGCCGCTCTGCGCCGCCCTGGTGCCGATGTCGGGTTCCACGAGTATCTGATCGTCTATCAGTAAGGAGCTGTGGAAGGGGGCGCTGTGGTCCCACCTCGTGTTCGCCGGGCGGTACGCCGCATGATAGCACTTTGCCACCCAGGCCCAGATCATCCACTCGCCCGGGCTGCCCGTCCAACCGAACGTCAAGACCATGTAGACTGCCGTGATCAGCGCTGCCACGCCCCACTTGCCCCCCTCCAAGTCCGCGCCGAAAATGCACGCGTCCATCTCGTGCATCACGACCCACCAGAAGGCGTCCTTGACGTCCTTCTTGGAGAGGAGGATGTCCATGCCCGGCATCCTGGCCTTCCACCGTAGGATGATGCGCGCCAGGTCCTCGTGTCGCGGCTGGTCAGCGGGCGGGTGGTCCTCCTTGGGGCAGCTCTGGTTTGGAACGGTGCCGTCCCAGATCAGCCTGTGGATCCACCACCACTAGGATTGTAGTAGAGGTGGATCCACCGTTAGTAGGATTGTAGTAGAGGTGGATCCACCACTAATAGGATTGTACTAGAGCTGGATCCACCAATCATAGGATTCTATTAGAGCTGGATCCACCCGTAAGGATCCGATAGGACTCCGTAGATTCTGGAGCTTCGCTGGTGCAGACACGGCAAAATGGCATGGAGGATGAGTCCACACCCTTCAGCGAGCAAATTCGCCAGCGGAGCAGGGAACGGAACCCCTGGTTGCTGGTTGCTGGTTGCTGGTTGCTGGGGGGGGTCCCAACCGGCCAATGGGGCACAGACGCGCGGTTCCGCCTTAGGGAAGAACGCGGGGAACGAGGTCCGGGACCGTGGGGCACTCACGCGCGGTTGTTCCTCGTTGTTGTTGTTGTTGTTGTTGTTGTTGTTGTTGTTGTTGTTGTTGTTGTTGTTGTTGTTGTTGTTGTTGTTGTTGTTGTTGTTGTTGTTGTTGTTGTTCTTGTTGTTCTTGTTGTTGTTGTTGTTGTTGTTGTTGTTGTTGTTGTTGTTGTTGTTGTTGTTGTTGTTCCCCCTCCTCCGGCGAGGACCATCGAGGCGCATGTTTTGAATCTTGGACCAGCCTGCAAAACGCACGACACCGACAGATGCACGGGGAGTGGACGTCCGGGCGGTGGCGAGTGGGAGTGCCACGGCCCTCCCGGGAGGCGCCGCCCTTGGCCTTGCCCCTTGTGGCGCGCCGTCAGGACTGGCACTACGCGATGCTGAACGACTCGCAGAGGAACGAGTGCCACTTACGGTCGAAACCGATGGTAAGGTTGGGTAACCTTCCCAATGATACCCTTTCTAGGCCTCCCAGATGGGGTAGGAGTAACTGGTGTCGGAGGATCGCGCCGCATAGCCGACGCATCGGGGATACGGCTCCATGTGGAGCCCGATCTTGTCCACGTCGGCGTCGCCGATGCGTCGCCGACGTCGCCAATACATCGTCGATGCATCGTCGAATCATCGCTGATGTATCGGCGATGCGGCGCGATCCTCCGACCCCATCTACTCGGACCCCATCTAGGAGGCCTCTACTTTTGCATCCTTGCCTCTTCGGTTCATTCTTGACCACTCTCGATGGCCAGCCCCGCTCGATGGCAAGCCTCGTCGTGGGCGTCCGAGGGGCCTGCATCCTTATCGCGCATCCTTACTATCAGTTTGACTGTATCATGTAACCGATCCCTATTCCCATCTCCATCCCCGTCTAGATCCCCAACACATGCCCCTCGCAACCCGAAGGGGACAGCCAATATCCCCATCTGGGGGGCGGGGTAAGTCGGCCTGTGGGGCTCATGCCATGCCGGAGGGGGTAGGGATCGGTTAAACGATGCTCAGGAACCAGTTCTATTGGGACGCCATTCGAAGAAGAAACAACTGCATGAACATACATTTTCGGAGCTCCGCGCGGATTTCTCGGATCCGTGATGGACCCCCCTGGCGGTGTCTCCAGCGCCGCCCTTGGCGCGATCTGCGCGCCAGGGAGGGGTGTTCAGCGCAGATCCAAGACATCTGCGGGGACCTCCAAAAGTTGACGTTTCTGCAGTGATTTCGTCCTCCAGCCGTGGCAGGCGTAGTCGAGGGCAAGCGCGTCGTGGACATCGGTTCTGGGAGCGCGCTGCTATCGCTGATGGCCTCCAAGCAGGGCGCGAGCAAGGTGCTGGCCATAGAGGCATCTGGTGATATGGTAAACCTTGCCAAACTGAACGTAGAGCGCAATGGCGAGAAAGGCAAAATCACCATCATACACGATCTCAGCAGCAATGTGCAGCTGGCTGAGGAGGACAAGGCCGAGGCGATCGTGTCGGAGACGCCTCCTCCTCCTCCTCCTCCTCCTCCTCCTCCTCCTCCCCCTCCTCCTCCTCCTCCTCCTCCTCCTCCCCCCCCTCCTCTCCTCCTCCCCCTTCCCCCTCCCCCTCCTCCCCCTCCCCCCTCCTCCTCCGCCTCCTCCTCCTCCTCCTCCTCCTCCTCCTCTCCTCCTCCTCCCTCCTCTTTTTTTTTTTTCTTTGTTCTCTCTCTCTCTCGGTGTGTCTCTCTCTCTCTCTCTCTCTCTTCTGCAATCATTACCCTGGCACCCGCCGCAAAGTTCTCCACTTGAGGAGGATCAGTCTTCAGATCTTTGCGGGTGGGGGCGGGTGACACGTCACTGCCCGCAATCCGAAGGACGACGAGGAGAAGGGAAGGGAGAGAGGACGGGGACGAGGGAGGGGGGAAGGCAAGCTAGGCGCGCTCGCGCCATATCTCACATTCTACCCCTCTCACCCATTCCTATCCACTGGGCCGCTTTTGTTCCTGCATCCGCCGACGCGTGTCAGAGCAGACTTGGAACTCCGAAGAGGACCAGATCGCGTTGTGCGCAATCGGGAACACGGAGCTGCGTACATTGGAGGAAGTGGTGGCGCATGAGCAGGAGGACGAGCAGGAGGAAAAAGAGGAGACTGAGGAAGGAATGCGGAGGACGAGGACGAACAGCAGCAGCAAGATCTGCAGTGAAAGGAGCGGGAGGAGCAGGAGGACCAGGGTAAGACGGAGGAGGGGAGATGCGGGGGGCGACGACAATTGAGAAAGGACTCGGATCCTGATCAACATCCCGCGCTTGGGCGGGGGCGCCATTCTGAACGGCGGGAGCAAAGCCCCGGTCCGACAATGAGGCCCACGCTGCAGCGGCAGCACCACTTCGAAACACCGAAAGCAGTGGGAGCGTACACGACCATAAGAAAAACCCACGTCTTGAAATCGCGGAGAGGGCCGAACATCTTCCGGACAGAGTCGGGGGAGGAGGGAGAGTCGTACTCATAGTGTGTGATCGCAGAGACTGGCGAGAAGCGAGGCGGAGGGAAGAGGAAGGGAAGGAGGGAGGAGGAGGGGGAGGAGGAGGAGGAGGAGAAGGAGGAGGCGGAGGAGGAGGGTGGAGGAGGAGGAGGAGGTGGAGGAGGAGCGTGAGGACCAGAGTAAGCCCAGGATCCTACGGCGAGGCTGCGCTACACCCTCCCGTCCCAGGTCCCTCCTCGCAGTGTCCTTGCAAGGCCTCCGTCGCTCTACGGGGAGCTCTCCCGTGCGGGCGAGAGTTGTGTTTGGTGTGCAATCAGCGCGCATTTTAAGCATGAGCAGCTTTCCAAGGCTGCCCTCGCCTCCTTGCCCCTTCGGCCCATCCTTGGCAGTTTTCGCTGGCCAGCCCCGGTCGAGTAACGTCAGCATAGCCTTCCCAGGCCCTTGCATCCTTACCGCGCATCCTTACCATGCATTTTGCCCGTTAGAAGGGGTTTCCCTGCATCCTTCTAACAGCTCCAGTGAGAACGAAAAGGCCGGAACATGCCATCCAGGGAGGTGTGTCCAGTGATAGTTCCGTTTTGAACATGAGCCGCTTGAGTCCGTGCAGCTCTCGCGCAATCTACACTTCGGGTCATACGCCTTCGAGCTTGACATGACGTTGCAACCGATTTGAAGCAACGCCGCCGCCCATGCTTCGCATTTTGGAAATGTCGCGTGCTCATTTTGTGTAAATGTTGCAAGCTTTTAGAACGAATGCCCGCGGCGCCAAGGCGAGAGACACGTCTTGAAAACGATTCAACCACTAGCTGTAGCTGCTGGAATTCTAGACGCTCCGACACCTCGCGAACCCCCCCGTCCAGGTCCAGGCGAGGGGGTAGGGGGAGGGGTAAACCCCTCCCCGAAGGGGAAGAAGGAGGGGTGAAAGAGGAAACTCCCTAAACCACCGACGCCCAGAGGGCTGGTGGGATTTCAAGACGAAGGTCCGTTGCGCCACGGCAAGAGCCACATCTTGAGCACCTTCTGCCGTCCATCCACATGATTTGTTCCCCCGACCCTGCGGAGGGGTTCCCGTTTAGTGCTCCACTGGGGGGGTTTGGGGGGACCTCCGGGGACATGGCCCTGGCCACGGGCGGAACGCCGGCGGAAGCCAGCGAAAGCACGGCCGTTGTCGGCCCCATTTCGGCAGGCGCGCTTCCGGGCGGCCCAGACGGCCCCAAGATGGTTCGCAAGATGGTCGAAGGGGGCCACGAGTCGCCGAAAGATCGGTCGAAGACGCCCAAGATGGCTTCAAGATGTTCCAAGAAGTCTCCCAGTGGCCTCCAGGAGGCCTCCAATAGCCCCCCAAGTACCCCCCCAAGAGAGCCCCACAAGTCAACATTCATGTGTTTTCTTTAGGTTTTCCAAGGTTTTTTGCGTTTTCGCCTTATCGGCCTCCCGACGCTCAAAGACGGCCCAACAGGTCCCAAAGATCGCCCCAAAACGGCTTAAGAGGTCCCCAAGAGAGCGCTCAGGCTTCCCAAGACGCCCCCAAGACGGCCCAGGAGGCCTCCAAGACGGCCTAAGAAGACCCCAGGATCACCCCAAGAGGGGCTCCAGAGGGAGGCAGGGACAGACATTTTGGGCGCTCCGCCCAAGAGAAACCCCCAAGAGGCCCCCAAAGGCCCCAAGAAGCCTCCAAGAGGTTCCCAGGAAGCTCCCAGAGGCCCCCAAGAGGGCCCAAAGACTGCCCAAGAGGGCCCCGAGATGGTCGGATACGCCCCAGGGCCAGAAGACTGCCCAACAGGGCTCCAAGATGGTCGGAGACGCCCCGACAAAGTGGCACAGTGTCAAACGGACAACACGGGAACCAGCATAATGCGCCTTAAAGCGGCACAGCGTCAAACGGACAACACGGGAATCAGCATTATGCGCGCTATAGGCATCGTCTTCTTTGCTTTTCTCTTCCTCGCGAGTCACGCCCACTTGTCCTCCAAGGTCAGGTTTCGTGGCAATATCATGTTTTTTGTCAAGGTCAACTGCCAGAAGTCATAATCGGTGAGGAAGCCTCAGGCGAAACGTCAGGCCTGCGTTACTGAAGCGTCTATTGGTGCGACGAGGAGCAGTTATCAGGAAAGAAAAGAGTGGAGTATGAGGAGGACGGCACAGGAGGGAGGAAGAGCGGCGAGGAGGAGGAGGAGGATGAGGAGGAGGAGGAGGAGAAGGAGGGAGAGGGGGAGGAGGAGGAGCAGGAGGAGGAGAAGCAGGGGCGGGGGGCGACGAGGATCGAGGAGCCAGTAGCGAGGGGAGGAGAGTGAGGAGGGGGAGGAGCGAGGAGCGAGGAGCGAGGAGCAGAGAGGAGCAGGACGCGGAACGAGGAGCGAGGGGGAGCCACAGCAGCCCTCCCTGAGGAGACGCTGGGGGCGCTGATGCTCGGCGAGGGCATGCTGGACTACCTCGTCGACGCGCGGCGCCGCCTCTGCCGCCCCGGGGCCGCTGTGATCCCGGCGGGTGGGGCCCAGTACGCGACACTGATTGGCCCGGCTGCCGCCGCGATCCGGGCCGAACCCGGCGCGGGGCGAAGTCCCCAGGTCGGGCGAAGAGGAGCATGCACGTGCACCGACCCTGGCCAGGCCCCTCCTGGGCCCAGGATCGGTTCTCCTGGCCAAGGCAGGAGGGCGTGTGCACAGATGCTGGGCTCAGGATGGGCCTGGTCAGAATCGGTGCACGTGCACATCCCTCTTTCCTCTACACCAGTGCCGGCTCTGCAGGCTGGCCCTCTGTGCCGGCTCTGTGTGGGCGGGCTCTCTGTGCCAAGAGTTTGCGCAGCATCGTGAAGGCAGCGATGCCATACTGACAGCTCATCTTGTGGAGGCCACCCGGCGGGGTTGGAAGAGGCCTCGCGCTTTTCGCTAAGGGCCCCCCCAGAGCTGTTATTCTGTGACAGTGCTGCTCCGCACTGGAGGTCGAGCTATATACTGTTCCCGCGGGGCCGGACATCGAGGCCTCCTAGGTGGGGTCCGAGTATCAGGGGCACCGATAGGGGGGATAGGCATAGGAGGGATGCATCAACACGCAATCGCCCATTGATCGCCGATAGGGACCCGATAGCATCAACCTGCCCAGGAAGGTGCGGATTCACTATCAGGGGCCTATCGCTGATCTATCTGCGATGTATCGCCGATTCCAGGTCGATGCATCCCCCCCTATGCCAGTCCCCCCCCAATCGTTGCCCCTCAGAGTAGAGGGGATCGGAGGATCGCGCCGTATCGTTGAAGCATCGGCGATGCGGCTCGATGTGGAGCACCATTTTCTCCACGCTGGCGTCGCCGATGCATCGCCGATGTATCGGCGGTGCGGCGCGATCCTCCGACTCCATCTCTCCGACCCCATCTAGGAGGCCTTTAGGAAAGTGCCATACCGTCTGACTTTTCATTGCCGCATGTATTCCTTGGGCCACAAGGGTGCGGAGCGCCTGCAGGCCTACTTCGGCTGTGTATCTGGCCCGCGGGAAGGATCACTCGACTTTTGGTGCGGAGCACAGGAAAAAGTTCACCCACAGAGGCGCGAGGAGAAATCGCGCTTCGCGCTTCGCGCTTCGCGGCCTCGCGGTGTGCGCCTCTGGAGCTGTTTCTCTCCAGGGGGCGATGCGAGGGCGCGACGATGACCGCGCGTGTGCGGCGCGAAGTACCAGATTTCGGTGTCCTACGTGAGGCGTGCCAGAAAGATCCCCGTCTTCGATGGCCGAAGGAGTTGCCATCTCTTCCTCGGCGGAGGGCGGCGGGAGGGCGGCGGAGGGTGGCGGAGAAAAAAGCGACGGCGGCTCCGCCGGCGGAAGCTCGGCGACGGGCGGCGGAAGCAGAAGATGCGCCCCCCGGGCGATGCCATCTGCTCCGTACACCTTAGGCGATGCTTAAGAAAACCCAAGTTTTCGTCCAGAGTCTCGATTATTCTTAATTTTTCAATGGAAATCCTAAGATTTTAATGGAAACGTTGGGTTTTTATTCAAGTTCTGAGACTATGAATTTCTTAACCCATGATTTCTTAAGCATTTCGCAAGGTGTATGCAGAGTTTCCGGAATCGGCGACGCGGGTGAGGAGAGAGGGCCCTCACACGCCGTAGACACCCAGCGCCTCGGCTCCTCCAGGCCGCCAGACCCCCTGCCTCGGGCTCAGCGAGAGAGCCCCTCATCCCGAGCCCGTTTCTTGCGGTTGGGCCTGGAGGCGGCCTCCCGAGGCCGAGGTTGGCGAGAGCCTCGCAGCGCGACGCTTATACCCAGAGGGGTCGGCGGATCTCTTCGCCGTCCCTCGCGATGGTGTCGAGCGTCAACTCCCAGTGCTGCAAGGGCTTCGACCTCTCGGCCATCGGTAGCTTGCAGGATCGGGCGGCGCCCGGTTGGAGAAACGATCGGGGGGGTCGCCGCGTCGCCTGGTTGGAGAACTAAACACCACAAATTATACAGGAATCGCGCTCTCGCGTGGGGCTTCCTCTCAATTTAATCAGACTCACACTCAGCCCTCGACACTCAGGACTCACACTCACGCTGTGGATTCTTTCACGATTCATTTGGGAATCGCGCCATCGCTCGAGACCACCTCGCGATTCACGCAGGACGCACGCTTCAGCAACCCGCCTGCCCCGTGTCTTAAGTCGGGCATGCCCCTCTACAGGAGGAATATTCAAAAATAGTCCAAACATAGTAGGGGGACTTTTTTTGTTGTTATTTTTCTTTTTTGTTTCTTTCCCACTTCATTATTATCATTTTTCGTATTATTATCATTGTTAGTGTTATCATTTTTTGAGTATTTGATGAGCATTTGTTGTTGTTGTTTTTTTCGCCCAAAATTCGCCTGCAGGGGGCACATGTCCGACGTAACCCGTGTCCCTTTCTTCCTTCCGTCCTCTTCCCCTGCCTTAGGGGCTGCACGACATGCACGTTACAGGTACGAAAGATATACCCTTAAGGGGGTACGATCGAAGACGAAGTAGGCGGGTACCCAGGGTTTTGGACAGATGTGTTGAATGGCACGCGAGCAGATAAGAGCGATCAGTCTTAAGATGTTCGTTTTTGTTTGCTGTTGTTGCTATTGTTGTTTGTGGCGGTGAGGATGTTATTGTTATGGTTGTTGTTGTTGTTGCTGTTGTTGTTGATGTCGTTGCTGTTAGTGTTGTTGTTGATGCTGTTGTTTTTATTGTTGATGCTGTTGTTGCTGCTGCTGTTGCTGTTGTTGTTTATGTGGTTGTGGTTGTCAGTTGTTGTTGCTGTTGCTGTTGCTGTTGCTGTTGCTGTTGTTGTTGCTGCTGCTGCTCCTGCTGCCGCTGCTGCTGCTGTTGCTGCTGCTGTTGTTGTTGTTGTTGTTGTTGTTGTTGTTGTTGTTGTTGTTGTTGTTGTTGTTGTTGTTGTTGTTTCCTATGTTGTTGGACCGTTGTTGAATTCCCATTGCTAAGGATCTAGTCTAAATAATAATTCCTGTTGATCCTTCCCTGCGAATTAACGGGCTTCTCAATTAAAGTGCTTCTCCAGGAGCTCGCATCCTGTTGCTTTATCAGGACAAGTGAGGTGTCACCAAACTCCAGCCCCTAGCCCCCGAGTTACAGCAACAACGGCTCCCGCCTGATAATTACCCACAGTCTATTTGAAAATCGCGCTCTCGCGCGGGACCTCCTCACCATGTATGCAGGATTTGCGCTCTCGCGTGGGACTTCCTCACACTCTATTCAGACGCCGCGCCCTCGACACTCAGGACTCAGGCTCACGTTGTGGATTTCCTCACGATCTATTTGGGAATCGCGCTATCGCTCGAGACCACCTCGTGATTCACGCAGGACGCACGCTTCAGCAACCCGCCTGGTCGACCTGACCGCCAGGGCCCACCTTCCCGACCCGCCTATTAGGGCCCACCCGCCCGATCTGCCCGTCTGGTTCTTCTCTCTTCCCCTGCCTTAGGGGCTCTACGAACTGCACGTTGAAGGTAAGAAAGGTCTACCCCTAAGTGGGGTACGTGTTGAATGGCACGCGAGCAGATAAGAGCGAACCGTCTTGTTATTGCTGTTGTGGCTGTTGTTGTTTTTGCGGTTGCTGTTGCTGTTGTTGTCGTTGTTGTTGTTGTTGTTGTTGTTGTTGTTGTTGTTGTTGTTGTTGTTGTTGTTGTTGTTGTTGTCGTTGTTGCTGTTGTTGTTGCTGTTGTTGAGGTTGTTGTTGTTGTTGTTGTTGTTGTTGTTGTTGTTGTTTTTGTTGGTGTTGTGAGTGGTGTTGTTCATGCTGTTGTTGGTTGTGCCGTTGTTGATGTTGTGGATCCCACCTCTGGTGAGCCGTGTGTGTTTTCATTTCAAGTGCTCCTCCTCGGGCTCGCACCTGCTTTTTTACAACGGAAAATATTCCTCCTCAGATTGGTCCCTGGCCCCCGACTTAAAAACAGCGGCTCCTGTCTGATATTCTCTTTTTTCGTTTTTCAGAATCGCGCTCTCGCGCGGGACCACAATGTGTAAAACTTTGCCCATGCGGCTCCGATGCGTGACCGCAGCTCTGCGGTGGTCCTGCCATTGAGAGTCCACTGTGGGCCCAGGACCTTGAAACCTTCGCTTGTTATCACCGTTGGGATCGACTGCCCATCCACATCGACCGGCCGGACCCGGGCATCCACGCGAGACGTTTGAACCAGGCGCTTGTCCATGTTGAGGTTCAGGCCATGTTGCGCCAGGGCCGCTCGAACATCCCTGATCCTCTTGAGGAGGGCCCGCTTACCTGCTGCAGACAATGGTGTGTCGTCTGCGAACATCGCGTGAGTGGACTTCCCTGCAATACTGCTGCAAACAACTGTTCCGAAGCCATCGCGTGCCCACTTTCCCTTCAACATCTGGAACACCTGTCTCGTGACACTGTTGAATAGAATTGATGACATGGGGTCTCCCTGCCAAGAAGGCTCAAGGTCATCTTGACAAGAAGCTCAAGGTCTTTGATGCAAGTGTCACGCAGACAGCTTTGTGGTGTTGCGAGTCTTGGCTACTTACTGTCAAGGAGAAGCGTCTACTGGAGAGCACGCAGATAGGATGCTGAGAAAAATCGCCAGCCCATGTCGGCGACCAAACGAACCATGGGTCGATTGGATTAAGCGTTCAACTCGAGCCGCGCGCAAACATGCAGAGAAGGCAGGCATCAGGTTCTGGCTTGACAGTCGCCTCAAAGCCGAATGGTGCTGGGCTGGGCATGTTCTGCGAATGCAGTCGGAACGGCTCGCGCACAGAGCAGCAACATGGCGTGATTCTGAATGGTGGAAGACGGAGATGGAGACGTTTCCCGCAAGCCTGCGGCTCCACCGGCCGCACCGGACACGGTGGTTCAGATGGGAAGACGAATTCAAGAGATATGCACATTCACGCGGGTGGTGTTCGTGGCAGGCTGTCGCCCAGCAGCGTGACAGCGATGGGAGAGCTTCAATCTGGCTACGACATTGGAAAGGATTCGTAAAAGGAGATGAAGAAGAAGTGAGGGGCCACGGCCCCGCTGGGCGCGCTGCACCAGCCATCCTGATGCGCCCAACCTTGAACCTTGAACCTCTCGCGCGGGACCTCCTCACCATTCATGCAGGAATAACGCTCTCGCGTGGGGCTTCCCAGCAATTTCAGACGCCGCGCCCTCGACGCTCAGGAATCGCGCTTTTGGTTTTGCTTTTCTCACGAATTGCATTGGAATCGCGCTATCGCTCGAGACCGCCTCGCGATTCATGCAGGACTCCCCCTTCAGTAACAACCCGCCCGTTCGACCTGGTCGCCTGGGCCCGCCTTCCCGACCCGCCCGTTAGGGTCTACCCGCCTGATCTGCCCGTCTGGTTTTGCCACATTTGCTCCTAGCCCCTCTTGCTCATTTCTCTCGTGCTCCATCCTTCTCCCTCCCGCTTCCATCCGTCCTCTCGTCCAGTTTTAGGGGCTGCACCCATTACATGCGGCAGGAAAGGAAAGTATATCCCCAAGGGGGCAAGATCTAAGCCGAATAGGGGCGGGTATCGAGGGTTTGGGATACATGTCTTGAGTGGCGCGTGAGCAGGTAAGGGCGAACAGTCTGAAACTGAGTGTTGCTATCGCTGTTCATAGGTTGGTCGTCCTTTGACGGTTCGGGCCCCAGAATTCGGAGCGGTAAAGCAGCGGCTGCCTCGATTCATTCATGCGACGCTGGGATCCCGAGCGGCGCAGGACACGGGGAACCTGTTCTTCACCAAGCAGTGGGGCTTTAGGCTGAACTCGCTGCCAGACCCACGGTCGCTCGGGCCGCCCCAAGGGGGCCTGGGGTACCCAGGAGAAGACAACACGGGCCCTGCCTAGACTGTCTAGCGGGGGAGGGGCGGAGGAGGAGGAGGAGGAGGAGGAGGAGGAGGAGGAGAAGGCAGGAGGCTGGAGGCAGGGGGAGGAAGGAGGAGGGAGGAGGCAGGAGGGAGGAGGAGGGGGCGGAGGGAGGAGGGAGGAGGAGAGAGGAGGCAGGAGGAAGGCGGATCGAGGAGGAGGGATGAGGGAGGAGGAGGGAGGAGGGAGGAGGAGGGAGGACAGAGGAGGGAGAAGGAGGAGGATCATTCTTATATGATTCGTCCCCTCTGGACCTCCAGGGGGACACCTCGTCGCCACAGCTGGAGTCGCATTGAAATCTGGGTCGGAGCGCGCTCCAAGGAAGGTCCAGGGCGCCCTGGAGTTTCCCAACGTCAGCAGCACACATTAAGTAGCCCTTCTCCTCCTCCTCCTCCTCCTCCTCCTCCCTCTCCTGCTCTTCCTCCTTCTCCCCCCTCCCCCCCTCCCTTCTTCCTCCGACCCGGTGGCCAGAGTAGCAGGGATGGCAATCGAAACATTGCCACGAACCTGCACTATCACCTACCTGGTCTAGACCGTTACTTTTCACGACGCCCCCTAGACAGAAGTATAGCACCAGACTCAAGCTGCATGAGCATCCTTCAGCGGACAAAGACAGGAACTCACCAGCAAACACTACCCACTGGGACACCGACTTCGACTGGACAGGGACAGTGTCGTACCTACGTTGATGTATGGTGGAGAAACGTGGACTCTGACAGAGCCCCTCAAACAACAGGTACGCCGAACGCAGCGCCGGATGGTCAGAATGAATGAGATCGGGGGCGCCAAGAAGGCGCACGGCAGCGACACCGACGCCGCGCCGCAATCAGCTACAGCCCAGGAAAACAACCACGGCACCAGCGTCACTGCCCCAGCGACTCCAGCGAATCCGACGTTTGTAGGAACCCGCCCGCCCAGCAGCCCGAGGAAGGGGACGACGACAACGACGACGACGACGACGCGCAACTGGGCACTGTGCAGGACGACGACGTCGAGTTCTCGTCCGACCTCATCCGCAGGGGCACGGGGAGGGCAGAAACACGGATGCTTGAACACGACGTGCCTGATGGACCACGGGTGCACTGCAGAATGGATTCGCGATGGGCGGATATCGTGGCTCACCCCCCCCAACACGCTGGACGCAGAGAGCGCTTCATTGGAGCCCACATCTCAGCACTCGACCACGAGGGCGCTGGCACCTCGGGGGGTCGATCCAAGAGACTGGACGACGACGTCGGAAAGTTGCTCCACAGCCCGAACGGGCAGTGGTGCGCCGCCGCCGCCGGGCAGGACAGGATACGGGCAGCGACCGAGCCAAGACAGAACGAGCACAACAGCTCGAACGACCTGCGATGATGATCAGCCGCCGGGATCACTGAGTGGTGGTCACGACGTGCGCCCGCCTACATATCACATTTTGGAGGCCACGGCCTCTGCGCCATGCCTGAATGGGCACGGGCGGGCTCCCCAAGGGAGCGCGCACGACTCTGGCGTTCGCTTCGCTTCGCTTCGCTTCGCTTACCTCCTCCATCTCGTCGTCGGCGCCTTCCTCCTCCTCGCCATCCTCCACATCCCCCCCCCCCCCCTCTCCCCCTCCTCCTACTCCCTCTTGGGCAGGCCGTAGAGCGCCTCGTCCACGTCAGAAATATGCCGGGCAGGGTCTGCCCAGTGGCTCCTGGGCCCCCCTCCCCTCTGGACCTCGGCGCGGCCTGGACGACCGTGGCGCCAGACCTGGTGGAGATGTCCGAGAGGGTGAGCATCCTCGAGGTCGGCCTCGGCGGCGGAGGAGGGGGAGGAGGAGTGCGATGACGGATGTTGCTGCTGCTGCTGATGCTGCTGTTAATGATGGTGTTGCTGCTGCTGATGCTGCTGATGATTCTGATGACGATGATGATGATACTGATGATGATAATGATGATAATGATGATGAGGATGATGCTGATGATAATGAGGATGATGCTGCTGCTGATGATGATGCTACTGATACTGATTATGGTGATGGTCATCTTCTGCTGATGATGCTGCTGCTGGTGATGATGATGATGGCGACGATGATGATGATCAGACTGATGACGATGATGATGACGCTGATGATGATGCTGCTGATAATGGTTATGATAGTGATGGTGGTAATGATGACGATGATGAGGATGATACTGACGATGATGATGCTGACGACGACGACGACGACGACGACGACGACGACGACGACGACGATGATGATGATGATGCTGATGATGATGATGATGATGATGATGATGATGATGATGATGATGATGAGCATGATGATGCTGATGGTGGTGATGATGATGATACTGATGATGATGATGATGATGATGATTCCGATCCTGATTATGATTGTGATGATAATGATGATGATGCTGACGATTGATGATGATGATGCTGATGATAGTGCTAACGATGCTTAATCATATCATTGTTATTGCTATGGCGTCGACGATGCTGCCGACGACGACGATGGCTGCGAGGCAACGGGTAGTAATGATGTTGATCGTGGTGAGGCTGATGATGTTGACGAGTATGATGATGATTATGATGATGATGATGATGATGATGATGATGATGATGATGATGATGATGATGATGATGATGTTAATGACGACAGCGTTGCCGAACATGAGTACGAAGGAGATGCCGGGGATGACGAGGATTCTGATGGTGCTGATACGGATTGTGCTTATGACGATGATGATGACTATGATGGTGGTGATGGTGGTGCTGATGATTCTGATGATATTGATGCTGATAGGGACGGTGATGGAGATGTTTGCGACGTCGAACGTCGAAATCGACGACGAGGATGATGAGGATGATGAAGATGAGGATGATGATGAGGATGATGTCTGATGGTGGTGATGGTGGTGATGATGATGACGATGGTAGATGATGGTGCTTGTGGTGATGGTGAGAGTGCTAATGAAGTCGATCGTAATGAT